GGAATAAATTCAAAATACTGTTCTTTCTGAATACAAATATCCCTATAACGTCGAACCATGTCGCTTGTTAGTTAGGATTTTTTGTTGCTAGTCGGTGGTTTTTTCCTCGTTTTGTCGGTAGTCAGTCATATTTTTCGCCCTTTGCCGCTAGTCGGTTAACACCATTCAGACCCTCTTAAACACCGCGTACGCTAAAAAGTCGATCATCTTTTCTACGTTAAGGTATCATGGTAGGTGGATTTTTACGAAAAATGCGGCAAATATTTTGCAAAAAGAATGGGGGAAAGGCTTTTTTACTTTGTAAGTGAAAGCGAAAAAACTAGTTTTGAATATCATTAACCCCTTACAGCGGGTTGACACCTCTAATTATAATTCACCGCCAGTTGTCACATGTAATGCGAATTGCGGTGTGATATTTCATTTGTGCACGCGAACTGTTCTCGATCTGGTTGTTTCATCGCGAGTTGGCTTTCGTTCTTGTCAAATTTTCTTTATGTCAGGACGAAAAATTCTTGCCCATTTTCGTCTTCGAAGAAGCTGAAGAGGCGAAAATCTGGTGGAACCCACAGGTTCAGCGTCGAACAAGATCTTTGGCTCTGAGTGACCGTGGGTCGCACTGTAAACAAGAAGCAATGGTTGAAGAAACTCGAGGACACTAGTCCCACCAATGAAGCTAAAGGACAAAATACAACAAGTGCTAGTCGCACGAAACTGTTGTAGAACGGACGCGATTCCGAAACGTCCACAACGAGAGATTCAAGCGGAGATGTACATATAGACAATGTAGACCTCGAGATTTCCTTTTTTTTCATGCTTTTTGGCTTCACATGGTTTCAAAAAATGTCTGGAGAACGAAGGAGCCTAAACTTAAGCAACATAATACCCATGCCGCCGACGAAATCTTTTAAGTAAAAGTAATCACGGCAGTTTAACTTGTAGTTTGTCGCTTCTCGGACGATTTCACTACGACGGGTTTCCGCGCCAGAATATCAGTCGTCTGTCTATTTCAAGTTGTCATAATCCATTGTTGTGGTAAACTGACCCATGCCGACATCTGTCAGTGCGGAGGGGATTTTTAACACCTATTCATACCAATCTCAGAAAAGGTTTTTCCTATCTTTCTCGATAAAAGAAAACTCCATATAAGGATGAACATTTTTAGTTCGTTTACGCGCGTCTTCCGATGGAATTGGCCAAAAATCGGCAGGTGTGTTCTAGCATACCTCCTTCGAAAAAGGGTGTCGGGATTTGTTTAATTTCGCTTCCGTTTCAAAGTTATGTCCTCTTTAGTAGAACGAAACGTCCGCATTGAAAATATCAAAGGTTAGGAGGGTGTAGAAAAAAACAACAAAGCACATCTGGAAAATCGCAGACACGATTTTTGAGGGTGATGTGTGAGAAAACATTTCCGATGTAAATCGCGCCGCTCTCCGTAATTCACGTGCGGAAGCGAACCAGTGTTTCTGGGTATTTCTTTTAATATCACTGCGACAGTAACATTTTAGAAAATTTCAAAGATATGATTGTATTTTATAACTATTAAGCTTTCAGAAAATGTATAGGTTGATGGGGTTTTCTTTCAAAGCGCCAGCGTAAGAGCGCGATTTCCCAAACACTGTCAATCCACCTACCGTGATACCTTAATCAGTTCAAATTTTGTAGTTTATACGGTTACGATAGCAAAAAACCATCATTATATGCTAAACAGTTAACCCCACTGACACCCTCTAGCCTGCATAGCAAGCGTTCCCGTACGAAGAGCTTTTCTGCATTCCAGCCGCGCATAAATTGGAGCGAAAGCAAAGTATTGACAAAGCTCTCGGTCCAATTTACGCACGGGCAAAATGTGGAAAATCTCTTCGTGTGGGAACACTTGCTACGCAGGCTACCTTCGCTTCTAGTCAAATCCCTTTGGAACGGGTCAAAAAGACTCAGGAACACAGGTAAATAACAGTACATCTATTTTACGTGAATGTATATGATTACGTTATTGATACAGTGTTTGGATACCCTGTGGTTAAGGTTACTTTCCACCTTCAGGGGTGTCCTTCGGGAAAAAAATCATACATGTGCCAGTTTCAAGACAACCCTAACAAACTATATATCAAAAGAAAGCTTAATAAATGAAGTTTACAATAAAAATTCAATTAAAGCAAGGTTTTATTTTAGGAACTTCAGGAGCCGGTAAGGCGTGAAACGAACGAGGGTTCTTCAATTGATTTATCCGGCGGGTCTAAAACAGGTCACGGGTCATTGTTTCACCAATACTGGAACAACCCTAAGTACTACACTAAGACAATGTTTTAGACCTAAATACTGCACTAAGACAATGTTTAGGCCTAAGGTTAGGATTAGGAAGGGGTTAGGGTTGTTCCAGTATTGGTAAGACAATGACCCGTGACCTGTGTTTTAAACCCGCCAGAATTTGTCGGTTATCGGATTCTGCAACACGAGCAAAATGGCTGCACAGCCTTATTCACAAGGCATCAATCAACAAAAGTGTGTCGGGGTTTTTTGATATTCTGATTGGTTGTCTAGATATTCGTATCTAAAGTTGGAGTAGCTAAAAATATGCAAGATGTGTTGCGTACATGGACGCCACAGGAAAAACGTGTTAAATATCAAAATTTCCCGCCAACCCTTAGTTTCTTATTATCCTTGTATTGTTTTGGCAAAAATTTCATGAAAATCTGTCAATTATGCATACCCTGTATTCTGCAATACATTTCCTACTTAAAAGTTGTAACAACTTGTCTATGTTGAGAGCGGAGCTCCCGCGCTCCGAAGGCGTGCGAGCGGAACCCATACCTTAGAAAATTTGGTGACCCATCAATCTCAAAATTTTGGTTGTCACGTGACTATCCGTACGTCCGTCCATCAGTACGTGCGTAAGCCAAGCCACATTCCTTGAAAAGTAAGAGAATAGCACCATTACCATAGGTACATCTTTGATATTGGACATCCATGTTATGATTAATTGACAGCTGTCAGAACAAGGTATCCGCTGACCAGTATCACGTGATCATATCGCGGACTCAGGTCAAGAGCTCATCGAGGTGGCGCGGTTTTTTGAAGTTGACTGCTGATCAGGTACTGGGTTTTTCGATTGGATCGCGGGCTCAAGCCAGGTTACTACTTTAGGGAGAGGGTGGGAGTACATGCAAAGGCAAAATTTCGGCGCAAATTAAACCCTGACGAGTTGTTGACTTTTCTTCCTACATATTCCTTGTACAATCGTCTCTTGGAAAGTCCCTGATATATTACGTACGTAATTTCTACAATCTTGGGTACACTCATTAGGTATGGTTTGTTAAAATGTAACTAGAAAAAATAGTGAAATCACACGCTGAACAATCACATGCTCACAACTGATCATTTTTGGAGTTTCTGATCCAGGGAAAAAAAATCCTCTTTTCATTTATGGTTAATTGCACGAAAGAAACCAAACTTCAGACTTTCCAATTTTTAAGTTTCTTCACAGAAGAATTGCAACGAATGATTATCTCTATAAAATAGGTATCTCTTAATCTACATATCTTTGAAACGACATCGCTGAACTATGTTAAAGGTGTCTGAGCTGAGCTTTTAGAAGTAAAAGCCCTTGAAGTGTCCGCTTATTACAGGTTTCGTGCAACAAAATGGTTTAATATTGGTGTCCACGTCCGCTTAACAGAGGTGTCCGCTGATTGCAGGTTTATTTTACAGTAGATGCGGGAAGAAAATTTAGTGGTCCACTTAGTAGAGGGTGTCCGCTTAATATGGGGTCCGCTTAATACAGGTTTTGTTGTAGTAGTCCGTGAGCCAGTAGGGCTGGTTGGTATCATCCGGGGTGAATAAGGTTTATGGTGGTTTTCTAGTAAATTAGACCATAAATAGTAGGGAAAAGCATGATAGCAATGATTCTATGGTAGCTAGTGGATAACAGTGCTCTTTAAAGTGTGGCTCAGGCATGGGAACGAGGCTGATGCTTGTTTTGTGCTTAGTAGCTTCAGATGTCCACCAAAATGAACAGAACACATACACAACAGTACCATTGTTTCACACATACATTTTTTTAATTACAAATGGTTTATTTCATTAGTCGCATGACCAGAGCACGACTTTGGCACGGAAACGAGGCTGATGTTGGTTTGACATACATATGTGTGTTCATTAGCTTTAAATGTCCATCAAAATCTGCAAAACAGAAGGTGTTGTTTATCCCGTCGTTTACATCACTGGACACGTGACCAGGGCCTTTAAAATGGCATTTTTACATGACAGACAATTGTAAGACTGTACTACGAGGCACTCCAATCCACTTTAATTCAACCTGCTCTTTTTAATGTTTCTGACGTTCTTTCTGATGTTCTTTAACGTGGGTATAGCTAAGAATATCATTAAGTAAATGAGTCACGTGACCTAATTTCTATATTTACCAGTTGGCATACATAGAAAGTACTTGTGAGAATTCACAGAAACTTCTTAAGCGTTCAGTTTAATATTCCTCATCACTGCTCACTCCATCGTCATCATCGGCACTCTCGATCTCTTGAACAGAACCTTGGTTCTCACATTCAGCAAGCTTGCACATATCAGTGCATCTTAGGCCATTTGTGACACAGACACATTTAGGGGGGATGCACGTTTTAGTAGAGTTACACGCTAATAGCTCAAGTATGGCCTCTGGTGCTGCTTTTACGTCCATCCAGTCAACAACTAACTTGACAACACCATCTTCATGCTCAATCTTCCATCCCTGTCCAACAAGAGTCGGAACCTGTGGGTCTTTCTCTAAACGGCGTTTCCATATGGCAACCTGATAATTTGCTCTCCTTGCGTGCTTCACAAGACAATCTCTGCAAGGAGGGAGCTGGTGGCTTTCTATCCCCCCTCTTCTTGAACAAAACAGCTGGTACCTCACCTTTGCACACTTCTGGACCAAGTGAGGCAGCAACTTTTGAAATGTCAATAACATTTGTCCGTGTACGAGTTCCAGATTTCATGAACAGGGAAGCTCCTATCTCATTGCTAAATGCCAAGGACATGATAAATACATCAGTGTCCTCCGAACAGACAAGAACAGAGTTGAAGCCCTCATTAGCTGCATGGYAAGCGTGGAGCAGTAGTCGTCCATCTTCCTCTTCCTGTTGAGACTTCAGTGTTGGAACCTCACTACCTTCCGCGGTGATTCTGTAGCACGTATCACCAGCATTGACATACAACAGTTTCTCCTCCAACTTCTGTCTGCATGCTTCCTTTCTCCACTCGTTGACGATGAAGGTGATAAGACTCGTCTTATTGCTCACTCTTGTCAGGAAATTCCTCCACTGCCTAACTATCTGTGTACTAGTGATGTTAACAAGCTGGTGTCCTGACTCTTCACCTCGCAGTTGTTGCTCGCAGTTCTTAATGGATAGCTCCTTGTATGTGTCAAATACGACGTCTATTCTGTTACACCACACCCCTTCTTTCATTGCCATAGACAGAACAGTCATAGCGACATCACCAAAGGTCAGTTGATCTTCCTTTAGCCTTTGCACCAGAGACATGCCATCAATAACTGCAGCAGAATTTACAGGGACTTCCTCAGAGAACTGAAAATTTTTCTGTAACAGTGATGCCAGGGAGGCCTTGTTGGTATTTCTCAGAAGGCCATCTGGAGTTGACAAGGCCCAGGGAAGTGGTCCACGAGGGTGTGAAAGGATGGTATTCATCTGCAAGCTTCGTTCTTGTGCGATAACTATGATTCTTCCAAACAAGGACCTGTCTGCTTTCAAAATAATCGATCGGTCCTTGGTTTGCACCTGTTCCTTCTAGTTCATGTCGCTGAATGTCTTAAGTTTGTTGGTCTTCAGAGGGTCATGGAATTTTCTGATTTGAGGAGTTTTCTCCATCCTCTCGTCTTTAAACTTTGCATAACATCTTTCACCAACCGCGTGTGCTGCTTTCAGCTCTGTGGCAATCTCTCTGGGGGCTTTCTTTGCAGTTGAAATGCTAATCAGTTCTTGGCTCTCGGAAAATGGATTAACCCAGCCTTGGATGAGGTCAACTATGGACGAAACCGCGAGCTCATCTCTCTTTATTCTTGATGACTGAAGCTCTGTATGCTGCGTTTCCGAGTTGGATCTTTGTGCCATGTTTCTTAGCTGCCCGAGAAATGCACTTCGGTATTCTGCTGTGAGGTAGTAGCGCTGAACAGTTGCAGGTTTTAAGCTAAAGCGTGTGGTTCCACCAGGACTCTGGGTATCTTTGTTAACTGTGACCTCAGTTGTCTGGTCAACTGGAATCCTCCCAAAGGGATTGCTGCTGGCTAACTGAACGGCAAAACTGCCTTCTTTGAATGCCTTCTGTACTTTAGGATTTTTGTCACCGAGATTTGTCATCTGAGCAAAGTAAGGAGTCAGGTATCGTGAATAGTTCACCTTGTCGTAAGCGAAACACCAAGGGATCATCATTCTTATGGAATGGAGATGTAAATCCCAGTCACCTTCACGAGATGCTCGCAACAGGCCAAGAACTTTTCCTTCTACCATATCCACATATGGCATCCAGAATGCTGAAAGTTCACCGTTACTTTGATGAAGATGATTCAGGAACTCTCTCCACATAGTCATCACTTGGGGCAGGACTGGGCATTGAAGCAGCTGGTCTAAGCTCTCTTCCTTCAAATTATTAGCCAGTGTATCCACCTGCTCAAAAAAAAAGACGCCACTGTGATGCGATGATTGGGATCGCTGCTTTCGAGCCTTCTCATGAACTCAGTCCATGGTAACCTCATCAGTGCTTCATACAGGTACTTGTGTGCCCGCACGCCACGGTTGTAATTCTTTCCATCAATGACACCACTTATGGAGCCCTCAGCAACTATCTGTGATTCAAGGAAGGAGCACATGCTTGGGAGGCTTATGCTGACCGCATGTGACAGCATATATTAGGTCTTGACCAAATGACTAAATGAGATTTGACACTCTCTCTGATGGCTTTTCATTCTGAGGGTTTCCAGTTAGCAGTCCAACTAGAAAACGATGCAGCTGGGTAGGCATTTACACAGCATTTGACCGATCAGACGGGTGGTGGCAAGACCAGGCAGTCGGTTTCATATCTCTTCTTATAACTTCCCGGATCTGTAATGAAGCTTGTTCTGTTATCTTGTTGTCATCACTTAGCTTCACCTTCCAGATTGCTAGCTCTTTACGGAGATTATCATTATCAAGGACAACATCTTTAAACGATAAGCTATCAGGAACTAACAGCAACTTTCCGGAATCATTTGGGAAAATATGGATAGAATTGCCCAGTCCTGACTCAAGCCTTCTACGGATGTTCTTCGTTGTGGCAGTTTTGAGAGCTTCACCCTTGCTGGACATGAACGCTTCCAGTTTCTCCGTAAGCTGGGCAACTGGTACGACCTTCTTATGTGGAATTACCTCGTTTCTGATATAATGAAAAAGTTGTACGTATGCTTCTACTTTAGCTACTTCGTATGATAGCATTTCAGTTACCTGTGACGAATTGTCCACTTCTTTATCACCTACATGATCACGTTCTTTGGTTTTAATGTTAGTGTAACTTTTATAGCATGAAGCGTGGTAGTGGGCTTCTGCGGCCACTATGTCTCTGCTAGTTATGGCAAGAATTCTTGCATCATTGTTTAATATTGCACAATGACGGAGTCTCGTATCTGCCCGCAGTTGTACAGCCTGGATGAGTTTCTCCCTTGACTTTGGATTTTTCATGAATTTAACCTTATTTCAGAAAATGCATACAGGATTATATACTCTCCCTTCGGTGGATAGTCTCCTACACTGCCTTTTTGTGGGACTGGCGTCTTCATCAACTGACTCTTCTCTTTTTCACTTAATAGATTCTAAGTCTCTTTTCATAGTAAACAGACTTCTACATTTTCGGTGGTATGCGATTTTCTTCGACTGTTTTGGCGACAACCAAAACTGCCTGATGATTTCGAACTTTGGCTGCTTCCAGCAAAGCCAGCCAAGATCTGATGTCCTTTGGAGACACAAGATGTTCTTCCTCCTTATCACATGCAGTATAGTGTATTATGCACTGGTGCTTGTCCTTTTCCATTCAATCTGGATGGCAAACGCAAGCTCAGTAAATGGAGAATTTAAATAAATCTATTATTTACTCTGAAACAATAGCGTAAATGATATCAACGATTTCATATACGTTATAGATGCACAAGTAAATTAGCACTCAGTAATAGATCGAGTATTTTCAAACTTTAGATCGAACTGAAAGTCTAATTTCTAAAACAGTTTAAAAAAGATTTAATGGGAGCTGATTTGTTTTCTTATAAGACACAGTACAATTTAAGTTCCAAGTAGATAAAAGGTGA